ATATACATACCACAAAAGTCTCCACTTCTCAATAAATTGCATTACTACTACAGTTCATTTAATCCCCTCATTCCATTTGAGTTATCAAGAGAATAGATAATAACACTAAAGTAATCTACAGAATTGTCATATTCCATACAATCCACAGTAGATATAACAGTGCCAAGTTGCTTTGCAAGATTGGCACAATTGACAATTGCTGAGCCATCATCCTCTTTTTCTTTTTTTGCAACTTATGTATTGGCACAGCAGCATTTATAAATGTTTTTATGTTTAGAAATTCAGAAAAATCACAATTTTTAAAAAATATATACCTGAATTAGAATTATTACAAACTTTGGGCTCTGCCTCCTTTTGCTTTTAACCTTAAGAACCTACTGCCCAATCACAGCTATCCAAAAAAGTCAAGATTACTTCAAAATGCACATTGGAATATAGCAGCTATTTTAAAATTTCATCATTCCAGTGGAGGTCAATACATACCTGCAGCCACTAAGTTCTTTGAAGCCAAGCCCCTAGCACTATTACTATATGGCCCACAACTTGGACCACCTCTCAACCTTACATCACTGGAACTTGTTCAGTGTAAAATTTTAAGAGCAATATTTCAAGTTCCTCGCTGTGTCCCCAGTGATTGACTATGCATGGAGGCCGGAATGATGAGAGTGGACACTAGAATATGGCAGGCTGTGGTACACTGTTGGATGAAGCCAACACTTTTCCCTATAGGCTTAGTTCCACTGACATTAGAGGACAGATTTCAAAGTGAGTGAAAACAAGCAATTACAACAAGCTCTTGTTCCTAGGACTTTCCCCCACTATCTCTAGGCTATGAGCAATGAGCTACTTACTATTTCTAGGCTATGAGCAAGCAAGAGCGACACTTAAGAAACCTTTGATCGACATAGACTGCTGGTAATACCATTCAGCTTCCTACAGCAAATAGCATAAGATACACAGTGGCACCAGCTATGTATCTCACACAGTTTAACATCCCAAATCAGAGAAGGGCCTTCACCTTAGCCCAATGTAATGCTCTTCCCTCAGCACTTCTGACTGCAGGATACAAAAAGATGCCATATCCACTATGAGTATGTCCCTGTGGCTCAGAACAGGTCGAAACTATCAAAATGTTCTTCTGTACTGCCACTTTTATACAGAACCCCAAAGTGCTCTACGTACCCCATTCCTGACCAGAAAAACAGGATTCACCAACAATAAATGCAATTTCTGCTTTCTGACATTAATCCTGAAATAACACAAGGTAGCCAGGCTTTGTGTGGCAGCACGCAAAATCAGGCAAAGGATAATGAAGATCAACTGAATATATCTGAGTATGGACAGCCAGAAATGGCCCAGGCTCAGCATTTACTATTGGTTACTTATTAACCCCTTGAAGGTGCTTGCCTTGGTGTGTATATGCAGTGTCAGTTACTATACTATATTCTTCTCAGGTTTGACAGGGGACTGTAAGCGAAGTTTTATGCTACTACTTTAAAGTTTATACTACTCTGGTTCTTCATTTTAATCCCTTTTCTCTTTTGTTGCACATGTGTATCTGGAGCAAACATCTTAGCATTCTCTGTTTTTAATATTATTTTAGCCAATTTTTTGTATGTATTTTGCCTAATTATTCTGATATCGTCAGTTAGCTTCAGATATTTGCATATCAATTTCCTTTGTGCTGGTCAATGACTGCAATAAAGTCTTTCACTTTCACAGATTACTGAATAATTTTTTGGAAGTAGAAATATTTCCCATCAGAGGAAAAAAAAATCAGTGATGAACTTCATTCTCCAAACTTTGTATGTCAAAATAGATGAATAGCAACTGGACATTCTGGTTCCCTAGCTCAAGTTCTAGAAATGCTAGGGACTATGTGTGTGTCATATATTCATATATATATATATAAATGGAAGCTGGAAATTTGAGGATTACATACCATCTGGGAGCAACTATCCCTCTTCCTCACTTTGGCAGATACCTATGTGAGGGCACTATTCCTATTAAGACCATCAGACAATCAAACATGGCTAGATGCCGCAAAGTTGGGAGGTCATAGAGAACAAATCCATTTATAATCTTTCTGAATTCAGGGCAATGGCCACCCTGCAACTAAAGGTATCAGGTGGATGCCATGAATGAGAGGTTATGAATTAGAATGGAAAATGTGTTTGTTCTGTGCTCAGGGGTTCCAGGTGGACGATGATCTCAGTGCCTTCTTTCCCCTTCCTTTCACTACTGCTTCTGCTACTCTTAAATTTAAACACAGCATAATCCTACTGGCCCTCTCACTCCTCTTGCTGATCCTTCCAGCACCTCCCTTTCTCTTCCCTACTGCCCTGCCCTGTGCAGTGCTGCTGGCTTTGCCTTTTCCCTGCTATCTTCCACCTCAGAACACCTGTACGTAGAAGAGGTATGTTTTGGGTCAATGCCTGGACCAAAGGTGCATATTCTGAGTACTTATGGAATGTGTATTTTCCAGTTCAGCCATGGAATGCCTGAATTTCCTATTCTACAGACAGAATCCTTTTCATAGGCATATTGAGTATGACGGTCTTTTTTTAAAGAAAAAAAAACTACCAGTAAGACAGCAAGCAAGCCTTGTATATAGCTCAAGAGCTAAACAACCTAATGCAAGTGGCTTGAACTACACTGAATATTTGATTAAGCAGAAAGGCAGACAAATAAATAACTAAATAACCAACCTAGCAAAATCAGAGGAAAATAATAATTATGTAACCTCTTCAATGTCATATCACAAATTGTACCTGAAATTATCCCCAATTTTAAAAACAGCTTTCAGGTAACACAATACATTTCTTTTAGAAAAAAATAAGTCTTGAAGTCCCTATGAAGTTAACGTCTCAATTGTTTGAAGTCTGGCCAAATTCAATTTTTAAAAAATATCACAATATTGTTCACTATTTAGCAAACCACTATTCAAGAGTTGGCACAATCCTATTCACACTGAATACAAGATTTTGTGCTTGTACAGTGAAACCATTATCTCTAATTCTAAACTGTCATATGATGCACTTATGCTATAGAAATAGTATAAGATACTTTTGAAAACACTTTTGTCTTCAGAACATTATCAATTTTGTAGATTTCAAGATCATTTTTAAAGGGAGAAAAGCTACAAACCATTTAACCAAACCAAACACAGTCAATACTGTCAACGTTTTTCTCATTCTTCATGCCTCATTGGTGACAATTATTAGAAAGACCCAGCTCTCTGGAAAAGGTACTAATATTGGGAAAGGTGGAAGGAAAGAGAAGAAGAGGACAACCAGAAGCAAGTTGGATGAACTCAGTTACAGTGGCAATAAGTGCACCATTGGGAGATTTGAAAGAACAGGTTAGGGATAGATCATCACAGAGGAAATCTATCTATGCAGTTGCTA